TTAGGCACCCTCGGATCCCGTGGTTCTAGCACGGTCGCTTAAACTATTATATTTGGCTAAAATTCAATTTTTATATATGTTCTACCCTATAGTGCAATTTTAAGAATCATGTTACTGCTTTTAGTTAAAAAATTTTAAAGAAAGTGAACGTGGTTTAAAAATGTGTTTTTGGATCACGTCACATGAAATGCACCCGTATCCTTGACACATTCTTATTCGACGTTTTGGGATTTGGATTTGGGTTGCATGAAATGCACACCCGTATTTAAGAAGGTAAAATTATTAAAGGCGCGCCTAAAGCGACTAACGAGTTATTATCTTTGCGGAGGGCCGTGAAATTCGCTAAACGGCACGCCCCGAGTTCTAAGTATCTAAATAGGAACATTTAAAGAGGGCCCCGCAAGTTATGTGTTTCGTTTGGCGAGGCTCATCTCATTTTTATTTAAAGGCCAACCTAAAGCAACTACGATTTTTCTATTTATTTTTTTTGTCTCTAAAAGGGCCTAATTAATTTCCATTTATAAATCTGGGCCTCGAGTTCAAGTCCGAATTCAAACAAAAGGAGGGACCCTCTTAATTTGAACCTGCTACATAACTCGAAAACCTAAATTCATATTGCAAATTAATTCCCATATCCCTAGTATAATTTTTAAAAAGGGGTTTTAACTTCTAGCAAATTTGGGCCTTCAAACATGGCCCTATGCAGGAAGAAGGAAAACATAGCTTGTATTAAAATTTGCCCTGCTTGGGCTTTTTATTATAACACTAAGCCCAAAAATTGTGTAAATATATGGGCCTAGTTGTCTTGGCTCATGAATGAGCCCAAACCAATATTGACGGTAATGGCTAGGCCTGGTAACAGCTTTGAAAAAAACAAATGCTTCTCTTATTCAAATCAAATTCTAAGGCAAATATTTCACACAGTTTCAACTTATTCTGTCTATTGATAACTAATTCGATCCACCTAGAATCTAACAGTTAATTAATTTCAAATCAAAACTCATTAATGACCTGGGAGTTGGACGCAATTGCTGATACTCATTATCATGCTCACTTCTAACTATTGTTATCCAAATTGACTTATGAACCCCAAACTGGCATATAGTATGGATGTAAAATGCCCTACTGCTTTACAGTTTGCAGAATATGAATAAATTCCTGTGAGTTGCAATTTTCAACAGGCATATGGTGAACAAATTAAAATAGCAAATCATTTTTAGTCTACAGGGCAGGCTGATTCTACATTTAGTAAGAAAGTTCATGCTTCTTCCGTGTTCGACCTCTAACCAATAAACTATTCTAAGCTTAAATTCCAACTAACATGAAAATTCAAGGATGAACTAACTATACTATGCTGAAGCTATTTGCAGAACATTCATACAGTTAAAAGGTCCAACAGTCTGAATTAATTACAACATTCAATTACTCAAATTTTAACTAAACTAATCTACGAGCATATTCAGGAAAGAAATAATAAGAGCAGCCAGCAAGGGATCAATTTGAAGCTTCTATTTCACATCTCAAATCAAGCATACATTGTCGTGGATTCAGAACTTGTACCTGGAAATTTGCACAAATAAAATGAAATTAAGGATCAGTTGAGCAGCAGAAATACAGCAGCAATAAAATCGATTTTGAACCCAGAAAATAGTGTCAATCAGCCCAGGAGTTGATTTCAGATTGCAAAACCAGTAAACAACCAAAAATAAGCTTGAGCGACCCAAAATCGACTTGATATAACCCCCAGGATCCCTGAAACCTTCACTACTGAATTGGCAGGACCATTTAAACCATTTTCCAACCTTATTCAAGCTGGAAATTGAATTTCAGAACCTGAAACTTCGAGATCACTCCACAAATTCAATGGAACAGTAATTTTGGGAGTTTTTGTGTTATTTTTGGGCTTTTGAAGAACTAAGATCTAAAATGAACTCTCTAGCTCTCAGATTTCAGTTTTGGTTTTTGAATTTTTGAAATTCAAATTTTCAGATGTTCAAACTTGTGAAACAAGGCAGTAGAGATTGCCTTTTATAGGCAGAAATTGAGGGCTCTCTCAGATTTTCAGTTTACACCCTTAGCCCCTCTTTTATTTTCAATTTTAAGCTAGTTAGTCCCTAAGGTTTTGACTTGTTTCTCAAGTTAAACACTAAACTACTGAAATTCTAATTAACACCCCTATCTAGAAGCTTATAGGGAATTCTATTTCAGTTACTACAAGATTCCTTTTATCTAAAATTCCTAAACTACCCTTTTAGTCAATCTGAAATTACCAACTTAGTCAAACTATCCCCCAACCCTCTTAAACTTAGTCCAAACTAAACAGAATTAATCAATCAGGGGCTAGGGTGTATTCAGCTATATCCAAACCAATCCTAAAATTGAAATAATCAAATCTAACTAATCGAATTAATTCTAATTATAATCCAAGATAAGCAGTGAATTTAACAGTAAACGAACAGAATTGAAACTAAAATCAAATTAACAATAACATTCATGGATCAATTAATCGAAACCAAACACTAAATCAAACCAACATAAATCAAAACAGAACAAAAAATTAAACCAAAATAAAAACAAAACAAGACAGAATTAACGGAATAAAATCAATTAAAACCCTAAGAATTCTAAATCAATTAACATGAAAAGTGATTGATTAAAGAGAGGATACCATAATTGAACGAAGTTATTATGCAAAGCAAAGAAGAAAAAATAAACAAAAACTAAACGAAATAAAAAGAAAATCAAATAAAGAAAGAAAGACTTACTGATTTCTAGCTTCTTAATCGACTGACCCTGAATCGAATCCCCAAATAATGTTATATGCTTGTTCTTGCCAAGAACAAGCACATAACCTTATTTGGAACTCAAATCAAACACTGGTGAGCCTTGAAATATTTAACCCGTCTTGAATGAAACCCTAGATCTAAAATTCGAAGGGTTCAACCTGGATTTGAATAGTTTTGGTTTGGGATTTAGGAAGAGGGGGTCGAGGAGGCCATGGGGTGTGATTTTGGTTGAGTTTGGGTGGCGGCGCTACCGTGTACGGCGGAGGCAGCGTTAGGGTTTGGATTATTCGACGAATTAGGGTGGGATTTGAAAGAAAATGAGGCTGGATTCATAATGAGGATGAAGAGAGGAAGCAGTGGTGTATTTTTGGGAGTGATTGGTTAATCGCCGCCGGCGGAGGCGATTTCCGTCCAGCGGCAGACGGCGGAAAGGGGCGGCGTTACATTCTCTAGGGTTAGAGGTGTGTGAGAGAGACGGTGAGAGGGGGTAGGGGGAGGCATCCGACACTTTTATACCCTTAATCATCATTAGTTCCGGACCGTTGGATTGATGAGATCCAACGGTCCTGATTCAAAGACCATGAAACGACGTCGTTTCAATTAGAAGGGGGCTGGACCGGGTTTCTGAGATGGGTCTTGGGCTTATTGACCGGGTCTGGTGGGATTTGGCTTGGGCTAGAGGTAGAAATACACGAAATTGGCCCCAAACAGGCTGGGCCTTTTCCCTTTCTCTTTATTTTCTTTTCAATTACTCCCTTTCTTTTATTTAATTTCAATTCATTTTCATTTCATTTCATTTTTTTAGATTTTTGTTAAATACAAAATTAAAATGAGAAGACTTGATTTAACTCTAATTTTCTAAAATTAACTAAATCCTAATTTAAAAAGAGAACTAAGAAAAAATCGAGAATTAAAAGTAAAAATGCAAAAGGACTATTTTTTGTTATTTTCTCTTATTTTTTGCAATGTAAATTAACTAGTAAACCTAAAAAATATAAAATTGGGTTCTAAATGCAAATGTGCTATTTTTTTTTATTTTTTTTGTATTTTTAATGAATTATGCCAATGCAAACAAACACAAAAACATGCGATTAAATCCTAAAATCAAATAATTAAAGGAGAAATCCTAGTTTTATGAATTTTATAGGAATAATTCAAGTGAGGCAAAAATCACATGCTCACATTGGAAATATTGGGTCAAGTTGGGCGGGTTGGATTACGACTCATTGTTTGGTCCATCTTGACCCAAATGAACTTTGGGCAGGGCATTTATTTATTCAGAAATTTTCATAAAGCACTATCTTTTGGTAGTAATTAGCCATCTATAGATACGATTTGCTATATTACGGATTATAGATACCTTTGTGTGGTTATAAGATGTATTTGATATATTTAAGCTATTGTATAAAAATTCCTTATTTATTCAGCCCATCTTGACCCGCCCAACTTCCGCCCAAACAGCTCATTTGCCACCCAGGATTTTACTGATGCTGAGCTGCAGCAAAAGAATAAGGCACTCAAGTTCAGACGCAACTGTTTGGTCACTGTATTCTCTATAATGCTTTTAAAAAAACAAAAAATTCAAAGAAAACTATGATTTCTCTTGTAACTTTTATCCTTTTAAAGATCCCTATACTTATTAGTGTCCCAGCTAAATTAATTGTTGGCATACCTATATTAGGTCAAGAGATCTTCAGGACTCTTTTTAATCTGGCTATAGATTCGCATCAGCATAAAAATAGAGTAAGTTAAAGGAGAACGAAAAAGGTAAGTGGTAGAACCACTACTAAGTGCTTTTGTCCTTTTCTTGGTTTCAGATTCATGGACAAGTTGTATTCTTGATCCAAACATATTCCACGACGGCCAGTAAAACATCATTTTAGATGTTTGTTCACTCTGCAGTTAAACAAGGACGAATCTAAAGAATAAAGGAGACCTTTTTGACACACATGGTACTGGAATAGGTAAATCTCAGTCAGTTACAGCAGTAGTTGGTAAGCCTGCGATCGAAGCAATTGTATTCATGTCAGGCATTTCAATGAACGCAAGCAATGACAACGAATCTTGAAGTGCTTTTCGCCAGCTGAGACCAGTTAAAATACAAACTATCAAGTGCTTAAAATGTCTGTGCATATTTCCATTTGCCATCTTGAACTAATTTTCACACCAACTGGCTGAGTTTGAGACCATTGCTAAAAGTAAAAACGCAATATATGAGAAAAATGGCAGGCTGTCTTTTCCATCCGTATGAATTGTATAGCGTCGAAACCATCCAATTGAAATGACAACATTCAAATCTAAGAAACCAGCAATGCTACGGACTATGTTTTATTACGGTTAATGTTTTGTTGGCAGAAACTAGTACAACTCACACACTGGAAATTAGAGCTATATCATGTATGATTGGCTCAACTCAAAAACAAGAGGTATCACATGATAAAAACATAGACAACAATGCTCAATAGCTCCAATGAAACCTTATTCCAAGATACCCTCCACTAGCAGCTGAGAATCTTCATGGTACATGAGTAATTAACCCTGGAGGCCGATGATACCTGACAAGAGTGACAATACCACATGTTACTACTAAGTATTAACATAATTAAGGGCAAAGCCAGGATGGCCCAATATGATTCTCTATTTCATTCTTGATAAAGCAGATGATTCAATGTTGCCCAATTGAAAGCTCATTGGCTAATGTTAAACTAAATTTGAAAGCAAAAGAATCTTTTATGCTTCTATTTTGCTTGTTCATGGTTACCCCTATGACTTGGCACACATTGCCAGGAACTATATTCATCTAAATTATTTGCACCTCTTATGCAAACAACTGGCCTAAAATAACCATTTGGAAAAAAAAAAAAAAAAAAAGAACCAATGACTATAACCCACGATCAACAGTTGATCGATGTAACTACAAAGCATAGTTAAAATGACTAAGAGCAAATGAGCCACATAGATGAATATAGTTCCAGAAGGTAAACGATGTTAGACAATTAATACATACCACAAGCAACCCTTCCACCAGCATTTCCAGTGGCTTTACTGAGCTCGTGTCCTCCTAAAACAGCAGAAAAGCAAATTTTATGTCAAATTAAGTAAAAGTGAGTAATAAATATGCTACAAAAAGTATATTATATTTAAACCCTATCCTCTTTTTATTCCATGAAAGGGTTTTCAATGTTACTACACCAGGCACCAGGTTCTTTTGTGTGCAAATACTGAGCTTCGTACCAAAATGTAGCAAAAAAGATCCATAATCCTCATCTCATGATATCATCATATGCCCGTTTGGTTTACTTGCAACTAAATTCAACTTCCCTACCTTCTATTTTCAAAAAAAGTTGATATTTGGTAATCCTGATCATCCTTTTCAAATATTTGCATGTCACCTCACACTTTGCAAACTGGGGGAGGACAGCTACCTTGCTCCAACCACGCTGAGTATACAAACACATTAAAAGGAAAAGAAAAGACTATTGTTTAACCTATGGGTCCTAATCCAGCCTCAATCACCAATTGTTTAGTAGTAATTTTAAAGGAATAAAACAAAGGCCTCGCAACGACTTAACTATAGGCAAAAAGAGAAGTCAATAACTTGTCATTGTCATATATTCTCCTTATTAGTTCACTCAGTCCACCTTTCTTTCAAGCTATTAGAAGATTTAAGTTCAAAATAAAACTTGGATAACATCATTTCATGCCTGACCCCCAAGGCTTTGGACTAGTGGGAAGAGCGCAACACGTGATGCGTGGGTTAGGGGCACATCACAGGTACGAACTCTGCACTGGCAAATGTCTGATATTTGAATGGAGATGGACAGAGGACAGGTCAATTAACCACCGAATTACGAACCATGTGCCACCTACCCTCAGGGATTTCTCTGTCATTAAAAAATAAAGTAACCCCAATCCATTCCAAGAGGGCATATATAGAGATCACATCCTAATTCTTTGAGGAGATTGAACATCACGTAGGAATGCAAACCTCCCACTTGATTTTCGAGACAGCAATTACCTGGCATTCTATTTCTGCTCAATAAACAGATTGGCAAATCCATCGAAGGAAGAAAAAGATGAGATCTTATGGATCGTGGGGAGATATGGCAAAAGATAAAAGTGGATCCTTGCTAGTGTGGTCATGGTTAGATTAGAGCTCCTTTTTCACTTTGCCTAAACTTCTTTAAATGAACCTTCATCATTTTCTTCAAATTAACCTAGAACATATCACACAAACAATCACATTTGGACTTATTTTATCAGATCTGTAATATTTTCAATAACTACACTGAATCTTCCAAATTGACTCATTAAGAAAAACATGAAGGGAATAATTTTTTTTTTTTTTTTGAGAAGGTAACGTGCATTAAGGGAATAATATTTCTATACAATTTTGACCAGCGATGAGGTAAAATTTTAGTAAATCATATGTCAAGCACTACGGACTAGAGTTGAAGATTGGCCGCAATCTTAAATCAAAATCTGAATATCAAGGTTGTATTTTGTCTCTAACTTCTTCAGCCTCTTTTGTCTTCCATATTTCTCTTATATTAAATAGAAGTATGCCGTACTAGCTCATTATAAGTATTAGATGCTGGAGTTGGGGAACTAACCCTTTCCAAGATCATCAGGATCAGCATGAACAACCACAGCTCTTCCAATGATGGATTGTGGACCAGCAAGAGGAATCTGCAAAAGTTCAGGTTGCTTATTAATTCAGAAACAAGTGTAGAACAAGATTAAAGATAAGAATTCAACAAAGAAATTTACCTGCTTGTCGGTAATGGTAAAAGATGCAGTACCTGAAAATTTTGCAACGATTGTATCATTAGCAATGCTACCTAATTTGGAACTGAATTTTTTTTTTTTTTTTGGGGGGGGGGGGGGGAGGCAATGACATCTTTGAAATCAATTTTGGCTTCATTGTGCAAAATATTTGAGTTTTTCAAGATATAAAATTATGGGTGAACCTTTACTGCAGCGGAATGAACTTCCAAAGGCAGGGGGTTACCACTACACACCATGTCGAACCAAAACCCACTAGGTAACATAAGATAATTAAAGTCTTCGAATTGCAGATTTTTTATTTGAAACAAAATAAGGATAACTTCAATGAGGTTCAGTTCAATATATTAAACACGGAATGCGTACCATCTTCCCCAACTGTGATGTTACCAAGATCACCAGCATGACGCACCTCATCTTCAGGAGCACCATGCTCCTTACCAGCAGGGTTGTAATGTGGTCCTGCAGGTTTACAGGGAAGAAATCCAAAATGAAAAATTGTCTAGAATTAATTTCTATGTCCTCTTCTTCAGTAGATAAAATTACCCGTTGACATGCAGCCATTTGTGGTATCACCAAGGGCATGGACATGGAAGCCATGAAGTCCGGGTTTTAGGCCAGAGACATTTCCAGTAACTGTGGTTGGTGCTGTATATATTTCATCAATTAGAGATCACCCATGATAAGTGCAGGAATAAACCATTTTACCATCATTAAAGTTAAACTTACCATCTCCATCTTGAGTGAAGAAGATGGTGCCGCTAACACCTTCACTGCTGCTAAGGACGGCAACGGCTTTCACCATTTTTGTATGTGATCTAGAAAATTATGATACAAGAGTCTGTTATCAAGATAACACGTATAAGAGCCAATACAAAGCATATCAATAGTTTAATATGCATCTTCTTTCATAAGATGACAGACAACACCCCATAAACAAGTTTGAACTTATAAATAGAAAATTGTGTTCACACAATCAGTTAAACAAGACTTCAGTCATAAGCCAGGTAATATACATTTCATCTTGAAAGCAAGCTATCAGATAAAGTGACATCCAAAATGTGAGGTACTCCATTTCGTCATCTCAACCATATTAGCCTGAATATTTAAAAGAGGGAATTCAAGAACAATTCGACATGTTTGTTTACAATTTTAAACAAGCCAAAATTGTCTTTCCGGAAATAACACCCAAGGAGTGACATAGCAGTCAATGACGTGGATGGTTCAAATCCCAACAAACACAAACAAATGCTAGGTAATTCTTTCCCAATCTGTCTAACTATTTGTGAGCAAAGTTACACATTACCAATACCGGAGGGAGATAGTCAGTACTCTGTGTAATAGTCGAGGTGCACACAAGCTGGAACGAACACCACCACTATAAAAAACTACTATTTGTTGGAAATAAAACAAAGTAAAGAAAACACAAAATTTGTTTTATAGAACACTAAACAGTGGATCATTTACCATGAATATTCACAAAATACTCTGATTCTCTCCAAAACAACCAAAAAGAAAAAACAATTCTCTCACAATCCAAATACTTGCGAAAAAATAGAACAAGAACAAAAGGAAAAAAAAGAAAAAAGAAACTGTTTTCTAATCCAAGAGCCATCAAATAAAGGCAGTAAACATATATTTGCAGCAGGATTTAATTGGGCGCAACTGGTAGGTAGGTGATACTTTTTACAGAGGGACGGAACAAAGCGAGGCAGGAGGGTTTGTGCAGATAGGGCAAAAACTGATTTTTTTTTTTTTGGTTATATATTAACTATTAAATCCCCTTGATATAAGGAAAGATTCTATTGCAGTGGTAAAGAGGGTCCAAAAATTGCTTTATGTTACAGGTTCAAGTCCTAGGTGTCACTCTTCTATTTTTTCATATAAATTTCTGGTTCCCCTACTAGTTTTACATACAATCTTTTTCACAAGAAATGCCTGTGCGTCACTCATAAACTCCAGCAGACAATCACACGCTCGAAAAGGCAAATACTCCTCTTAAATCGGAGTAACCAAATTCTTATTAGATCGACCCACACATCAGAGACAGAATCTTCGCAAGGTGAAGTCTTAATACACCTACGTTTATTCAACAATCATTAACCACAGAAAAATTAGCTCACATCGCAGACACGACACGGTTAAAAAGAGAAAGTTCTAGAACACTCTAGATCTGCTATATCAGAAGTTGAATCCAACATTTCATCATAAAGAGATACGAACAGTATCAGGATCAAATCCAAAGTTAGCCTAGTGATACCGATCAGTGTGAAAATCAAGCAAAAATGAATCGAGTGAATAGTCAAAAGTCAAACATCGAATACTCACATAAATAGGAAAAATTAAATAAATATATATTCAGAATAAGATCACGACGTATATACTGATGCAGAAATTTTTGAAGAAGCAAAAGAGAAAGAGAAATGAATTTACCTCAGGGAACCCCTTGTATGGCTAGAGAGAGAAAGAGAGGAAGAGAGAAGTCCAATATGTCTGTGATAATGAGGAGTTGGAAATGATGGAAATGGCCAGATAAGAGTGAAATCAGTGTGTTTTTATTGGAGAAATGGACTGACTTCTCTGACCTGTTGAGTGGTAGGTGGCCAGTGTGTGAATGCTGAATACCATCGTATTCATTTTGCCAACTACCTTCGGGTATTCACTCGGTAAGAGTTTTCTAGAATGTCAGCAGTCAAAATGGAACAGCAATTAAATTCTCCAATTTCTCTCTTCCTCCTCTTTTTTTTTCTTCTTTTTAGACTAGTTTTATTCTAGGGCCCTCAACATTTTGAGATTTCTAATAAAAAAGGTTTTACTAAATTTAAAAAAAAAATAGTAGTGAATATTATCATTCTATTATCATTTAGATAATATTGAAGATTATAAAAAAAAAGTATAAAATTTCGTATTTAAAAAATAAACAAAAGGCTCCTTTACTTTTGAGGATACACGTACAAAGTGTGTACCTTATATTATTAAGTATATAATTTTTGGTTTATAAAGTAAAAGTTAAAGAAAGAAGTGTAAGTCCTAAGAAATGATGAATATTGATTTAATTTAATAAGTCAATAAAAGGAGAAATTCTGATCCACAAAAACATCAAATGTCTTTATTGTTATATCAAATGACTTACGCGGGGATAGTAAGAATAATTGTTGCTCTTGTGATATAGTTGTTTACCCTAAAAAAAAAAAAGATAACAATTAAATTTGTAAGTGGTCTTAAGGATACGTGGGTTAATTTAATACAAATGATAAATAGCGTTAGATTAAACAGATAAAGGACGTAATAAATTGTCAAACCAATCAAAAGAAGTGACCCCGGACACAGTAACTGCTCAATAAAATGCCTGCCTTCGATCTCGGGCTCACGTTAATGATGTACTGATGAACAAAAGTAAGAACTTTGAATAATAGAGAAAATAAGAGTATATTACCTTGATGTACGTGTTAAAGTGTCCCTAGTGAATAATCAGACCCCCCTTTATATAGTAGGGGAATTTTACCCTAAGTACAATTCCACAAAAGGTAACAATCTTCTGTTTAACTAATCACCAGTTTTTTGCCGATACGTGCCGAGATTCACGCCGTGATATCCGGCTGGTCACATATATCACAGCCTTTTGTTGGTCATGCTTGATTATCTGGTAATTCTCTCCGAGATTTTTGGGATTCAAGCCGATCCTGGGGGTCGTGGCCTCGATATTTCCGAGGGCGGGTGTTTTGCTCGAACCCCGGCTCGAGGGGCTCCTTGCCTCGATTTCGGTTCCTTACAATCACGTCTCTTACTCCGTTTATTTCATCGAAAATTGAGACGTCCCATGGGCTCGGTTTCACCCGTATACAGATAGTCCCCTCGTTTCTCGGAGAGTAAGTTTACGGAAATGACGAGAAACGATATATGCACTTCGATTCCTTCTTCAATACGCCGTGACGGAAACGATAAAGAATCCGAAATGTCTTGTTAGTCGCGTCATTATGACTTCAAACACGTGTCAGCCATCGGCAGGTCATCCCTGGATGTGAAACGGCGCGAAGCCTCTATAAATACTCCCCTCCTTCGTTCATTTTTCACTTTTTGACCAAGCTTCTACCTTAGAGCCTTCAGGATATCACTGCCCTTCTTCATACTCTTAACATTTTTACCTCCGTTCTTCAAGATTTCTCAGTAAATTGTAAGCTTTTACTCATTTTCCACACAAACCAGCGTACTTGATTTTTTTCAGTAAAGCTTTTACCTTTCATCTCCCAACCTTTCTTCATATTTTTCAAACTTTTCCCAGACAATAATGGCTAAAACTTCCAAAATTGTTCCCCAGAAAGTCGCTTCCTCTTCTTCACAACCGACCGCCGAAGTCGAGGAGACCGCTCCCAATATGGTCGTCTTGGAGAGATTCGCCCAGGGCGTGGCTACCTATGAACCGGCTGCCAAGCTTCCCCTGAAAATGTTCGTCCCCGGGGGATGCTCGGTCGTGGATGATTTTAAGGTCTAAAAGCCCTCGTCGGCATAGGGCCGGTGTGAGGCGGTATCTAGATACATACCGCTATCTCAGATACCGCTAAGTACAGGTACAACTGCTCGTCTGCCTTCGGAGTATGAAGTAAAGGCGGACTCGAAAGATACCGTTTGAGTTCTTATAAAGCTTGCTGGCACTCCAGGATCCACGAGAAGTTATTCTTCTTCTTCAATAACGAGAAGAACCGATGGCTCTTATCGGAGGACCTTCAAATAAATCGACCCAAGGTGGCTATGCGCCCGGTTAGTCTTTGAACGACCTTAACATTGTCCACTACAGTGATGTCTTCTATGGCCTTGATCTTGTCGGGATTGATCTCGATTCCCCGGTTGGATACCATGAATCCAAGGAACTTCTTAGAGACTCCGAATGCGCATTTCTCTGGGTTGAACTTCATATTGTATTTCTTCAGTGTGTTGAAGGTTTCCTGCAAATGGTCCTCTGCTCCCGGGGACTTAACTAACATGTCGTCAATGTAAACCTCTATTGACTCCTATTTGCTCTTCGAACATCTGATTTAATAGGCATTGGTAAGTGGCACCAACGTTTTTTAGTCCGAATGGCATTACGTTATAACAATAGGTGTCGTATTTAGAGATGAAGGAAGTCTTTTCCTGGTCGCCCGGATCTATCCAGATCTGGTTATACCCGGAATAGGTGTCGAGAAAGCTGAGTATCTCGTGGCCGGCCTTCACATCGATCATGTGATCGATGTTAGGTAAAGGAAAAGAGTCCTTAGGGCATGCCTTGTTCAAGTATTTGTAGTCTATACACATTCTTAATTTGTTTCCCTTTTTAGGCACTACTACTACGTTTACTAACCAGTTCGGGTATTTAACTTTCCAAACGCAACCTATTTTAAGGAGTTTGGATACCTCGTCTTTGATGAATATGTGCTTGACTTCGGACTGAGGCCTCCTCTTCTGTTTAACGAGGTGAAACTTCGGATCTAAGCTCAACTTGTGAGTAGTTATTTCCGGCGGAATCCCTATCATGTCAAGATAGAACCAAGCGAAACAATCTATGTTAGCTATAAGAAATTCAATGAGTTTTTTCTTGAGCTCGGGAGTAAGCCCTGTGCAGTTATACCTTCCGATCGGGCAGGTGCTCGATCAATATGACTTGCTCCAGCTCCTCAACCTGACTTGGTGGCATCGGAATCGTTAGGGGCTATGACCTGGGGACTCTGTAATCGTCATCCTCATTCGTCCCCTGCTTTTCTAGTTCGATCGGGGCCGGTGTCAGTGATAGCTATTTGGTTTCTCTCTTGGTGACTGAACTCGGGTTCTTCGATGTCAAGAGTGAGGATATCGGGACGACCTCGTTGACCGCGAACATTTCTTTTGCGGCCGGTTGCTCTCTGTAAATCATTTTGATCCCTCCAGGTGTAGGGAATTTCAACGCCTGATGTAGTGTCGAGGGTACTGCCCTCATGTTGTGAATCCATGACCTCCCGGATAGAGTGTTATATCTCATATCCCCTTCGATCATGTAGAACTTTGTTTCCTGAACGGTTTCGGCAGTGTTTACGGGCAGGGTTATCTCCCCTTTAATGGCCTCACATGCCATGTTAAACCCGTTTAAAACTCGGTCTGTAGGCATAATTTGGTCTTGTAGACCCAGCTGTTCCACGACCCTAGATCTAATGATATTGGCCGAGCTACTTGGATCAATCATCACACACTTAACTCGAGATTTATTTTTGAGTACATATATTACCAGCGCATCATTGTGTGGTTGCACGATGCCTTCAGCATCCTCGTCATTGAAAGATACGGTTCCCTCCGGCACATAATCTCAAGTCCGTTTTCCCTTTGTAATGGACACTTTAATGCGCTTTAGCATCGGCCCCTGGGGGACGTCCACCCCAACAGTGATCATGTTAATGATGTGCTGAGGTTCCTGTTGCTCGATCTGCTTGTTGGAGTCCCTATTCCTGAAGTGATTTTTGGCTCGATCACTCTGAAACTCTCGAAGGTGTTTGTTGTTAGATAACCGGGCTACTTCCTCTCTCAATTGTCGGCAGTCTTCGATTCTGTGGCTATGAGTGCCATGATATTTACACATTAGGTTGGAATCTCTTTGGGAAGGATTAGATTGCAATGGTCGAGGCCACTTAGTATCTTTGATGCATCCGATGGCTGACACGATGGCGGCAGCGTCGACGTTGAAGTTGTACTCCGATAACCTTGGTGCTTCCTTGGACCCAATGAGTCTGTCAAAACCGCTTTTGCTCATGAGTCCCCAGTTATTGTGTCCTCGGTGGCTTCATCTTTCACTTCTCATAGTGTTGCGTCCGGACCCATTACCCCTTCGATATCCATTGTATGGTTGATACTGGTCTCTATTCGATCTTGGTTCACGACAATGTCTCTTTTGGGTCTGTCACTAGCTCTGACGGGATAAACGGACCCGGAAGGGGCCCCGAGCTGATCGTCTTCGACCATGATTTTTGATTGGTAACGGTTATGGATGGCGGCCCATGTTACTGCTGGGTAATCTATCAAATTTTACTTCAACTGCTGTGAAGCCAATGAGCTTCGGGGATTGAGTCCTTGAGTGAAGGCCTGAACTGCCTAATCATCTGCTACCGGAGGCAGATCCATCCCTTACATTTGAAACCTCGATACGAATTCCCTGAGATTCTCGTTATCTCTTTGCTTTACCTTAAAAAGGTCAGATTTCCTGGTCTTGACCTTGATGGCCCCGGCGTGCGCTTTACAAAGGCTTCTGCAAGTATAGCAAACGAGTCAATAAAATTAGGGGGTAAGTTGTGATACCATATCATAGCTCCTTTCGACAAGGTATTACCGAAATTTTTTAGCAGAACGGATTCGATTTCATCATCTTCCAAGTCGTTTCCCTTGATGGCGCACGTATAAGAGGTCACATGTTCGTTTGGATCGGTTGTCCCATTATACGTCGGAATTTCGGGCACACGGAACTTTTTTGGGATCGGCTTGGGAGCTGCGCTCGAAGGGAAAGGCTTTTGGACAAATTTCATGAAATCCAGGCCCTTCAGTATCGGTGGCGCTCCCGGGATTTGATCGACCCTGGAGTTATTGGTCTCCACTTTTTTGTCGTTG